ATTTTCAATTTTTTCGGTCAATTACAATATGTAACTGTAAAAAAAAAAAAAAAAGGTCTACGGTAACGTTGAAAAAACGCTGCAAAAGGGTTTTTGGCAACGCTGCAAAAGGGTTTTTGGCAACGTTGAAAAAACGCTGCAAAAGGGTTAACGACAACGTTGAAAAAACGCTGCGAAAGAGAGTTTTTGCAACACTGAAAAAACGCTGCAAAAGGGTCTTTTGCAACGGTGAATAAACGCTGCTGTATCTCTTCCCTCAACGACAACATCGACCTCCGCAACGTACGTTAAAACGCTGCAAAAACCCTTTTACAGCGTTTTTTGACCGCTGCAAAAGGGTTTTTTTGGTGTAGTGAACTGTAATCGATATGACATTTGACTTATTTGTTTGGACACTTTTTTCCACAAATTTGGATTCATAGATATCTTATAACCACATTGTATAATAGAAACAAAAATCTTGGTTTGATTTTGTACTTATGGAATAGAATATTTAGGAAAGCAGCTAGAGGTCAAACAAATAAGTCAAATGTCATATCGATTACAGCTATATCTGCGGAAAGAAGTTTCTCCAACTTGAAATTAATCAAGATTTATCTCCGATCATCTTTGTCACGGCAAAGATTGAATGGATTGATCATGTTATCTATTAAAAATGAAAAGATTAAATAACTCGACTACTCAAAATTGATTAATACTTTTTGTTTCTAAGACCGCAAGACGAGTTTGTATTTAAGTGATCGTTTAAACTATTTTCGCATTGTTATTTGATTGTGATATATATTTTTTGAATATTTCATTTTTTCATTTTATTATTAATTTTAAGTCAACAAATCTAGTTCCATAAAACTCGTATAAATGAAAAAAAAAAATTGATTACTTCCTACGATTTAGGAGCCCAAATTTTGAAATTCACCCAGGCCTCGCAAAACATAGGTACGGCCCTGATGGTTGCTGCCAAATGCATTGATGCAGTTGGCTACGTCAAACGGTAAATTATCTACTCTGATGACCTGACTTCAAATGTGCATCACTTTTAATCCCAACTCCGAATTGCAATTATTTTTTGTATTGAACTACAAATTTAATTGTTTTTTAAAGGTATATCATTGTTCCTGATGAGATCTTTTTAACCAAACATTATGCACTAATTGCTTTACATGCTCCGCAGGCAGCTTCGTTCTTTTGCATGTTTTGATTCTTTTATACTTATAAATTATTTTCCTTTTGTATCAATCATCTTAAAATTGAAATTGATTCATCATTGAGGCATTGAGACTTGTTTTTATACGACAAGTGTTGTTATTCGGGGCGATCTCGGGGTTGAGAAAATGTATGGTCATCCCGAATAACCAAATAGCTAGCCCATAAAAATTAATTATACATCAAAATCACTTTTATTAAGAAAATGTATGGTTGAAAATAAATTTTAAAGAATATGTACCAAATATGGGTTTAAAAAATAATATTATGAAGCTCACCGGTTTCCCTCTTTGTCACATTTGCATCCTAACTTCATCATTAGTATAAAAGTCAATGTATTTTAACGTGATTAATACAAAAAGCTTCTTAGAAGTAATTTTAAATCACTTCTAAGCTTAACCTATATGTGCTTGCTCCTCTTGATTTCGTTCTTAAAGTTATATTTTCTATTATGAAACAAAAAAGATATCAGAATCTCTCCGATACCACTAGTTGTGAAATAACCAAAATATCTCTTGTTTAGAAGAAATATTAATATGCCCGAATCGCTATTAACAATGTCAGAAATACAAGAATTATGTATTATTTGAATACCACTTGATGAAACTGTTGGGAATTTACTTAACATGTACAGCGTAAATAAAACAATTTTCAATTCCAAAACGAGGATCTGCAATGTGTTTAGACAAAAACTGTGATGAGAATGATACANTTAATACAAAAAGCTTCTTAGAAGTAATTTTAAATCACTTCTAAGCTTAACCTATATGTGCTTGCTCCTCTTGATTTCGTTCTTAAAGTTATATTTTCTATTATGAAACAAAAAAGATATCAGAATCTCTCTGATACCACTTGTTGTGAAACAACCAAAATATCTCTTGTTTAGAAGAAATATTAATATGCCCGAATCGCTGTTAACAATGTCATAAATACAAGAATTATGTATTATTCGAATACCACTTGATGAAACTGTTGGGAATTTACTTAACATGCACAGCGTAAATAAAACAATTTTCAATTCCAAAACGAGGATCTGCAATGTGTTTAGATAGAAACTGTGATGAGAATGATACATTTGATGAATTTCACAAACTCTTTTGCATATCTTGAACTCTAATGATCACGATCTGCAATCCAAGCTATCCAATAGTCCAGCCTCCAAAGGAGATCCACANAAAAAAAAAAAAAAAAAAAATCTACCGCAACGTTTAAAAAACGTTGCAAAAGGGTCTACCGCAACGTTTAAAAAACGCTGCAACAGAGGTCTACGGCAACGTTGAAAAAACGCTGCAAAAGAGTTAACGGCAACGTTGAAAAAACGCTGCAAAAGGGTTTTTGGCAACGTTGAAAAAACGCTGCAAAAGAGTTAACGGCAACGTTGAAAAAACGCTGCAAAAGAGAGTTTTTGCAACGCTTAAAAAACGCTGCAAAAGGGTCTTTTGCAACGGTGAATAAACGCTGCTGTATCTCTTCCCTCAACGACAACATCGACCTCCGCAACGTACGCTAAAACGCTGCAAAAACCCTTTTGCAGCGTTTTTTGACCGCTGCAAAAGGGTTTTTTTGGTGTAGTGTCAATTCTTAGTACAACTCGTTCAACATCTCCATGTTCCAAATTATCAGAACTGAAAAGAGGAATGAATTATGGTTCAACATACAAGGCCACCTTACATGATTCGGAATGCAAGATTATGCAGTGGGAGCGGGGCTAAATTGCTATTGTATGCCTACTGATAATGAATACGATAGAGTCATGACCAAAACGGGACTGATGGAAAAATATTTTAGAAAGACCGATTGGGTTTCATGCGCCCAACTGGAAAAGGCTTTTCTAAATCCGTCGATTAACGCGAGCAGATCGATACAAAATTTCTTTTGGCTGAGATCTGATGTATGAACCACATACATTGAGATCTGATGTATGAACCACATATTAATTTTTGTAGTTTGTTCGATTCCTGTTGGTGCTAATGTTTTGTTGGTGAATTGATTGAATGATTTGGGAAAGCTAATCAATGGTTTCGAATGAATTGATTGGATGATTTCGCATAACTAATGTGCCTTCCACTTTTTTCGATTTCTATTTTAACTATAAAAGCGTGCAATGAGTCAATGAATAAGTTGCTATTCATGAATGGGCATCCAATTAGAAGATGTGAAAATCAAATATGGAGCTTTATTTTAGGGATTATATTTTAATATTCAACAAATATAATGAAGGTCCACTTTATAGGGATTATTAACCGAAAAATATATAGAGGAGGATTTTTCAACACATAGCGTTATGGTTTTGTAATACACAACATTGATGGGGTTTTTGGCTAAACATAAATTTGTACTAAAATAAACAAAATTAAGCAAATGATTAGATTAAATATTGTTGTCAATTCAAAAACATGTTCAGGTGACCCGTACTCATCAAGTGTAAACATGTAATAATTCATAACCTTCCTCGACGACAAACAGAGGATCTCCAAAATTGGTATCCGTCACCGTGTGCAAACAGATTGGAAGTTCGGTTTCGCGAAGACTAACACAAAGAGTAGTTTCTTATGAATTGAAATGTACAAAATCAAGTCTTCATCTTCGTGTAATTCGATCGGATGTATATTCATATTCGGGACTTTGAACTTCAATTCGATTTCAGTGGATGGATCATGAATATGAAGCTTCTCCATCTATCATAACACAAGTCTTGCTACGGTGATATTGCATGGAACTAAGAGTGAAGTGGTATTGTTCCCTCCCCACTTCCACTCATCATCTACATGGACGAAATTTTCTCGTGCGTCAATGAATCTCAAATTATTAGTCATACTTGAAAATTTGAAATAGCAATGATAAGCATTCGACACAATCATAATATCAGAGTTTATTAACGTGCAATTGGCACATCCGAATAAATTATACCAAGCAATAGCAAACAGGTAAAAACGACTGTTGAAATGTTGAGCCTGACATTTACTAACTGTAGAGCTCGACATTTCATCTCTAGGATTTGACAGATTTTTTTTTGACATTTCAGCTATCAATTTTTACAATCTACTATATCATTTGAGGGTTGTAAATTGAATACATTCTTCATAGTATTAAAATCAATATGACCATGTTGTCTTTAACAATTGAAAAATGCTAAATTAGAAGATATAAAAATTAAAAAATTTGTAAACGCTAACTTCTCAAAATAAAAGATGACTCAAATACTACTTTCTTCTTATATTGGAATGGAGGAGATGCTTAGGATTTTTTTGGAAAGAAAATTTCTTGTTCACTCAACCTAATTAATGAATGATCTTTTTTATTAAGAATTCTATTACCTATTATATAATGGGTTAATCCATTTGTATATAATGGATTACCCCCTCTCACATAATGCGCGGGCTCGCATGTATTTAAAAATTTTGTGTTCACTCAACCTTATATAATACATATAGTCACGAGCTTATCTTACACTAGTCAAGTAATCACATCATTGCATTAATGAGTATTAAATGCTCCCAAAAAATGTAAATCCAATGGTGATTTGGACTTTTCACACCCAAAAAAGGACATTTTTAGCACCATTAGTAAAAGTGATAAATTTTTGTGCATTTTCAAATTTTGTGACATTTATGAAAATATTCCATTGGATAACAATTTCATGTATGCCATAACGATTTAATTGACTAAACCTTCGTCCGAAACTAGCTCTAATATAATTTCTCAAAGGGTGGGTCACATTGAACACGAAAAGTATATATACAGCTCAAAGGATGGGACGAATGGTGCAATATACCCAAGGAAATTGGTTTCAAACCTTTTATTATTATTGCAAACTATCAAAGTCTTTGTTGAATTGTCACGTGTTCTTTGTAAAATTATGCATCACTTCAAGTTTTTATACATCAAATCAAATTGGTAAACAATGCCTAAATTTGTAACAAACAAATTATTACATGAAAGGTTTATAGTAGTGTATCGATGGGACAATATGTGCGCGTGATCACGGGCGTCCCTATTTGTTTTCAAATACATATTTATATAGGAGGATATGCCCAACACAACCACAATAGTATGAGGTCATGCATGGTCACATGTGCAAAGGGCCAAGGGGCATGGGAAGACCCACAGGGGGTCATGTGGGTCAAGTGACCCCAACAAAAAATTTTGATTTTTTTTTTTCAAAAATTCTGTAGTATTTTTTTTTCCCCCAAGTGTAAGTTATTTGTTTAAGCTCAATGAGTGTTCTTTTTGTTAGTTTACCGTTTGTTAGTAAAATGAATTATTGAGTTTTGGACTTAGAAATTCTTCAAATATTAATTTAGTGGTGAAGAAATAGAGAGAAAAATGTTTCAAACATAGAAGAATCTTTATGATTTCTAAGTTCTTTTTGGACATTTTGGAAAAGTAAAAATCACAAGCAAAGGTGAAGTTTTCAGGTCTAAGATCACAGTTTACGTGTTGCATTCTTACAGCCTTTGGAGATCTAATGTTCGATTTTGTTTGTTGTTTATGATATCTGATTGAAAACAATGAGTGTGTTATTTTTTCTGTACTATATATTTGATTTTATATGATTTTGAGGGTTGAATGTGCTTGGGAAGATGCGATTGTCGTTGAAATTAGTATTTTAGATTGAAGACATTTTGGAATTCAAGATTTGGGCAATTTCAAAACTTAACGAAATTGTCTTAGGCATAATCGGATTTGTTTTTTCGGTTGACATATGTTAAAAATTGGATGTTTAGATTATCGAATTATTGTGTAATGACCCAAATTTAATTTTCAAATCGCTACCAAAAGTTTACTTAAACTTACATGAAAATTTTATAATCCTTTATTTGTCTTTAGAAACAAAGGCTCCCTTTTTTATACTACAATTTATTCATGTATGTGCGGATAGATCAATTTAAAAAAAAAATCAATCTACGATCTAAGAATCAGGACATAATTCGACATATGGGTATCAATTACCATTAGATTTATTTAGACAAAACATTTAAGGAGCAGCACCATAATTGGATTTCTAAACCACAATACCCTTTAATTACTGTAACATTAATATATAACTTCATAAAAATGTTTAAATCTCACATAAAGCAATTCTCAAAAAAAAAAAAAAAAAAAATTGAACAGAAAAGTAAATTGAAAAAGTGGATTCCATATTATATTCTTATGCAAATTTGACAATATTTCCAATGAATCATGATCGGTGATGTCACCTCTAGTTTTAAGAACCTACTTCCTATACTAACTTCCAATATACATTTTCATGTGAAAAAATCATGCATCATTTTATTCACCGAACAAATATAATATTGGTTCCAAAAATACACATAACACATAACGTATAAATCATGTTTCCAGATCCCTAAATATAAGTCAAACTAATAGTAAAACTAAAGTAAAAGCTGGAAATAAAATAGGTCTTGACATATTACACTGAATTATTTCTCTTTACTCTTAAAAATTCTGGCACCACGACTGCACCTCATTGCCAACCGACCAACGACCCGATCTAACCCGAGAAAAGTAGAGAAAATGGTCAGTGTATGGGAATACTCAGTATAACTTAAAAATATGGTGCAATCCCTAATAAAATATTTAAATCATGCGTCAAGAGAAATCATACCCTCATCATATCTTTAGAAACCGTTAAGAGCTCATATCATATCATATAATTTGTACCAAAATGGTTATATCATCATATCATATCTTTAACTTTCATAAGTATAAAATTTCATCAACATGAATGAAAAATAATTTAAACGTGATAAATCAACTGCACTTTGTTTCCTACATTGTTAACTTGCTTTAATTTTAGAAGACAAAACAAAAATCACGTTCCAACAATTCCTTTTCTGC